GGGGGGTCACCGACTTCCACCCGATCCTAGCCAGCGACAGGTGCATGCGCTGCAGAGGTCCTCGCGACGAGCGCCACGTGACCTTGTCATCAAAGGGGGCAGAACGCCACAAATAAGCAATCTCCTTGATATTATACCTAGAGACCGACGGGGTGGTGAGAGCCAGCCACACGATCGACGCCCACTGCAGGGCTGGCGCCACAGCCGGCCTCCACATCGGGTCTCCAAGGATCACCGGACGCGCCTGGAGGGAGCACCCTCGGTGCCTAGGGGGGTGCGAAGACAACAGCACGCGTTGAGCCACCTGGAGCTCGCCCTGACTCACCCCCACAACCGACGAGCCGAAACTGGCCGCGGGCAACACTCCGCAAGTATAGATCTTTCCCATGCGAGATTTTTTGCGGGGAAGGGCCGAGCGATATCGCATTAAAACCTCATGCCTCTTCTTCATGTGTGAAAACCTCTGTTTTCTTTTCCACAGACCATGTTTAGCACCTCGGGTCTGACCTGGTGCGAAATCCGTGCCAAGGGAGACCGCGCTGTTCGTGACCTTACCCGCCAGCTGCCCGAGGTGCCTAGCAATCTTCTGGGCGAGGGTGCGGCTGCTGGCAAGGGTGCTGACCTTGTCGGGCTGAATGCCGACGCGCAACTCATCCCTAAACAGGGCGTACAGGCAAGCAGCCGCCGGAGTGATAGTGGCCAGGGCCTCTTGCTCAGAGCCCGACGCTGTGACGCTATCATCGTCGACATTCGACGACAAATCGACGCTGGGATTGTCTTCAACAAACTTGCCAAAGGCTTCGATGCTGTAAACTCGAACCATGATATCATTGAAGATATCTCCCGCGGGAAGACCAGACCTGGCGAAATAAGGCTGGGCCCCGTAGTGGGCCCCCAAACGAAGCAAACGGGGGCCACTCCAATAGTTAAACGTCGTTTTGACAATGACCTCGTTAATACCGTAACGTAACGCTCTATCCTTGAGAAGGGCTAAATCAAATGACTCGTAGTACTTCGTCCTATCCCATATTATACCCCCCGTTTCCTGAGACTCGAAGTGGGCCATCTCGGCCTGGACGGCCCGGTGCCACACGGCACTCTCAGCGCTGCGGCCAGGGCCAAACGCCCAGTAGCTGCGAGGGTAGTTCGTGTTGAAATCCACAATCACAGGTCTCCGTAAACGTTCCCAGACACGGACGGGGCCAGCGCGCAGCAAGATGGGTCGAAGGCCTCCCTTGGGTTTTTCCAAAAAGAGGGAAAAGCAGCCAGAACAGTTGTTTGGGAAAGAGGCCCAGGGACTCAATCGCTTGGATTAACGCCCCAAGCGTGTCAAGGGCATCGTCCGAAACCAACGCGAGCTGTCTCGGGTGCAGTCCATCGAGGGACTGCGAAGTCAAGTGCGAAAAAACTGCTGGACGCGCTTCTAATCTCGAGCGCCGTCGGCCTAGGGAGGCGCGCCCGATCAGGAACGCGCACCTCGGGTGATATGTGCGACGCGTGCCAAAACTCGGACAGGGATTTGCCTTCAGCCTCAAGCAGCCCTTGAGGGGAGTTAGAAAAACAACCGTGATGATTTTGCACGACGGTCGGGTTCCACTTCTGCTTGAGTTCCGTGAGCCTGCGCATGGCCCTCGCTCCCCCAGAAAGAGCTTTCTCCTGCCATTGATCCCAGCTATCCTGCTGAACCTTCGCGACGGCCCTGCGCGCCTCGCCCAGGTCGCCGCCCCAAGACGACGGAAACTCCTGACACTGCTCAATCCAGCGGTCGAGGCCATCATCGAGCGTAAAAGAACGAGCCAAAGTGCGCGCCTGAGCGAGGGTCGCGTCGAGTCTAACATTCTGCCGCTCACCAGGGCATGGTAACATGAGAAGCTGTTGGATCTGGTGGCTCGCATCCTCAGGCAAACGCTGGACCTGGGCTTGGTCCGCGGGATCGGTTTCCTGGGCCGCCCTTCGAAATCGAGCTGACGCCCCAATGGTTTCAGACAAACGTTGGGCCAGCCAGATCCATCCGACGTGCTGCTCACGGAGGCTACAGGCCTTGGGTTAGCAAAAATCGGGACCCACCGAGCTCTCAAGAGGCCCCCTTTGTGTCCTTTGCTTTTAACCTCAACTCCCGTGAAAGCCTCGAGCTCAAGCTCGAGCGTGTTGGAAAAATACTTCCAGGCAACAGTGAGAAGTTCCCGCGCCTCGCCGATGGGGCGAGCGAGAGCCGCAGCAGCAGCGTCCTCAGCAATGCTACGGCTGAGGGTCCAGTCCTGGGGTCTGGGGGTCGGCCCGAAAGGCAGCTCCGTCGGGAGTATTTGATGCGACCTATACATCAGCTGGTGGCACCGAACGGCATCGGAACGCAACGCGAAGCACACGGGCCTGTGAAGGGCGATGAGTCCAGGACATGTCAGCCTCAACCTTATCACAGGCGCGTGCGAAGCACGTGCTCGCTAAAAAGTAGTCGATAGTGGCGAGGCTTCCTGGGGACAAGCAGGTCTTCTGATTTGGCACAAGCAGGGCCCCTTTCAACGCGACAGGGAAGTCCCGTGGAGTCAACCAGATGGGGGTCGAGGTTCCAGTCTCCCTCCACAACGTGCATATGCTTCCCCGTGAGCCTCTCTCCTAATTGCCTCAGAAGGGAGAGATTGAACGCACGCAACCCAATCCCCGACTTAGAGTAGCACGAAAACACGTGCAGGGGCGGCCATCCAGGCAAGCCGACAATCACATGGATGATACGCCCCTTGGCAACAATCCCAGGAGCATCCGACGGCCATCGCAGGCCAATGCGCGCGCGGACGAAAACTCCCACTCCCGCTCGGGGTCTCCCAGATTCACCAGCAGGGGAGGGGGAACGCAGCATTTTCCATCCCAAGCTGGCCGCTGAGGCCGCTCTTTCACCCTCACGGTCCTCGGGAGCCCCGATCTCCTGCGCCAGCAGGACGAGCGCCGATGTCGAGCAAAGCCTCTCACGCAAAGTCGGCCAGCAATTGCCATTGTAGGTCTCGAAGCTGTCGCCCAAGCCAGCAAGCGAGGACGAGTCGAGCGAGTCGGGGGGAGGCGGAGGTGGAGCAGGAACTCCGAATTTAGACATAGGCAAGCCGCAACACCGTGGGAGCAAAGGGCTACCCCACGCGCGGCTTCTTGCACAGCCTGCGACCGAATTTCTCAATGAACTCACGCTTGACAATCCGTATGGCTGCATTGCAAATCTCCTCGACCATGTCTTCGTCAAGGTCCTCATCATGCTCAAAACCTGGTGTCGGCTGCTGTTGTGCCTCAGCCGCACCATCTCCGCTGGCGGCCGATGCATCACTAGGAGCCCCATGACCAGGCACACCATCACCTTCGGACTTGAAAGGCGATGGTGCCGTTGCCGTAGGTGATGCCTTCGCCTGGGAGGCCGCCAACGGCTGGGGGAACACGTGGCCCGATAGCTTGGCACAGCTCTTGCAACAACACTCGGCCAGAAGGGCGATTCCAGAAGGCAGGGGTGGCGGTGATTCGCCGTAGGCGTCTTCAATCCGCCGCTCCCTGTTGGCTTGCCACAAGGGTGCACTTCCTGCAAGATGTTCGGGAACCCGACAGGGCGCCGACCACCCGAAAGGCCGCCAAAAGCCACCGATAATGCATCTCCCGTTGCCGAAATCGCCGTCAAGACGGCCTCCCAGATGGCTCCAAGACGGCCAAGATGGCCTCCAAGACGGTCCCAATATGGTTCCAAGACGGCAGAGATGGCCCCAAGACGGCCCAGGATTTCCTCCAGAAGGCCCAAGAGGCCCTCAAGGCGCCCCAAGAGGACTCCAAGAGGACCTACAGGAGGCCAACATCATGCATGTTCCTCAAATGTTTCACTGAGTTTAGCATTCTCGCCGTTTCGGGCTTCCGACGCTCGAAGACCGCCCCATATGCCCCCAAGATCGGCGCAAGACAACCCTAGAGGCCCCCAAGAAGCCCGCAAGACGGCCCAAGAGGCCCCCAAGACGACCAACATAGACCTCCAAGACCACGAATGCCCAGACATGGTCTCAAGACGGCCTCCGATGGCCAATCATATTCTTAAAAGGACTGCAAGAAGCCACCAAGAAGCCCGCAAGAGGCCTCAGCAGGGCCCTACAAGGACCCATATAAGCCACTTCAGACGCTCCCAGGGAGCCTCCAGGTCCCAAGAGAGCATCAAGAAGCCTCCTATGGTTCCACCGCTTCCTCCTCCTCCTCCTCCTCCGCCTCCTCCTCCTCCGCACGAAGACATACAGACGATGAACGAAGACACCTACGATAAATCGCTGTCGCCCGCCGTCTTTTGGAATAAGCCTGCCAAATGCTGGGCCCAAGTTGGGCACTATTCGGCCATGTGTTCCCGCAGCCGTTGTGGAACCCCTTGTGGGAACACTTGGGGGAGGAGGAGGAGGAGGAGGAGGAGGAGGAGGAGGAGGAGGTGGAGGAGGAGGAGGAGCATCACGATCACGCTGTCTTCTTGGGGGCGCAAAACTTGCCTCGAAACTAAACCTGACGAACCACCAGAGCTTTCTGCAGGGGGCCCACTGAAGTACCGCCCTGCGCAAAACAACTGCATTAACTTGCCGGCGAGACCCCCGCCTCAAGCGAGCGGCCTGCCCGTGGAAGCAGATAACAGGAGAGGTCCATCCGCAAGAGGCGAAGGAGGGAGGGAATTCCTCTTCCTCCTCATCCTCCTCCTCCTACTCCTCCTCTTCCTCCTCCTCCTCCTCCTCATTCTCCTCATCCTCCTCCTGCTCCTCCTCATCCGTCTCCTCCTCCGTCCCCTCATCCGTCTCCTCCTCCGTATCCTCCTTCGTCCTCCTCCTCCTCTTCCACCTCCTCCTCCGCCTCCTCCTCCTCCTCCGTCTCCTCCTCCGTCTTCTCCTCCGTCTCCTCCTCCGTCCTCCTTCTCCTCCTCTTCCGCATCCTCCTCCTCCTCCTCCTCCTCCCTCTCTCTCCTCCTCCCTCCATCCGCGCCCCCACGCCCCATCCCCGCCCGGGGGAGATGCCTCCTTCTGTCCGCCGAAAACCGCCGTCAGCTCGGAGTCCGCGGAGGACGGCCACTGCAGCCCGTAGCCCGAAGGCGCCTCCGCCCCAAGGAGGGAGCCTGGCGGGCACGTCGCCGTCGTCGTCGTCGTCGTCGTCGTGATCGTGGTCGCCGTCGTCGTCGTGGTCTTTGCTGTGGTCGTGTTCGTCGTGGTCGCGGTCGCCGTCATCGTGGTCGCAGTGGTCGTTGCCGTGTTCGTGGTGGTCGTGATCGCTGCCGTCGATAAGCGAGGTTTGAGGATCGAGGCTGTTGGGCGCTGTTGGCCTCCTGCGAATCCGAAAGGCCTCTGGAGGCCTTAGAAGGCCTCCAAGACCTCTGGGAGATTTCTTCATCCTCCTTGTTTTTCGATCCGGATGGCTCCTGCCTCCTCCGATTTCAACTTGGCGGGCAGGGTGCTAATCCCACCTGCCCTTTGGGCGTAGGCGCTTTTGGAAGTTGGTTATTCCAGATTCCTCCTTCACCTTCGGGAGGGGGCGAGGTTACTTCTCTCCCTCCCCCCTATCCCTGGGTCTGGAGGGAGGGGGGGTTGGAGCGTCTAGACTTCTTCAAGGTGGCCCCAAGAGGGCAACAGATATAGCTAAGATGGCTTCCGACATTGTTCAATCTAGCCCGAGATGCCTCTGCATTGCCTCTAGCATGCCTCCCAAAGGCCCCAAGCTCGCCCGAAATGGTTGCAAGTGGCCACGGTGCCTCCCAAGGACCCCTCCGAGAGGCCCAAATCCGTTTGAAACCCAAGGACACCCATGCTTCTCCCCGATGCGGTGTTGCCTAAGGGGTTCTTACTTGTGCGGAGAACTGATGGGTGCGACCCCCAATCTTCTCCCTTGCCTCCTTTCTTGTGTTCCCCGGTCTTGTTCCTCGGCTTCCCAAGTCTGGTTTCCTGGGCTCCCTGGTCCATGCAATGTCAAACAATGTCAGCCAATGCAAGCAATGCCAATGCCACGACACGCAACGACATGCCAACCAGTGGCAGGAAAGCGTAAGCAATGCTAAGCAATGCCAAGCAATGTCAAGCAACGCCACACGATGCCAAGCAACGACTCCAAGCAATGACAAGCGACGATTCCAAGGAGTACCAAACAATGGGAATGAATGCCAAGCAATAAGCAATGCCAAGCAACGCGTTGCATTGCACAACCTTGCATAGCAAAGAGCTGCTTTGAAGAAAGAACACCCCTAATACGTACGCCCTGGGTTTACTTGCCTTCTCTACTCTTCGCTTCCGAAAGGTCTCTGGAGGCCTCGAGGTGACCTCCCCTTCCTCCTCCAACACCCCCCTCCTCCTCCTCCTCCTCCTCCTCCTCCTCCTCCTCCTCCTTCGCTTCCTCCTCCTCCTCCTCCTCTTCTGCCTCCTCCACCTCCATCTGCTGCTAACGGCTGAGGAAGGTGGTCCTGCGACCGCCTGTCCTGCCGAGCGCCCCTCGTCTGAACACAGGGGGTCGGGGGCTCATTAGGGAAGAAGTGAGCCGAGAGAGGTAAGACAAAACTGTGGGGCTCGACCCGCCTCCATCTGCTGCTCCTCCCCCTCACTAATCCCACCTCCCTCCAACCCCATCTCCCTTCAGAGACGCCGTCGTGGCGCCTTGGACCACGTCGTGGAGCAGATCTCCTGGCGGCACGCGGCCGGCGGAGGGGTGGGGAGCGACCTGACAGCTGCCACGGCGTGCGCACGAACCTCGTAGTAAAAAACACATGCGTGCCACGGACGCTTCTCTCCTCCTCCTCCTCCTCCTCCTCCTCCCTCCCTCCCTCCCTCCCTCCCTCCCTCCCTCCCTCCCTCCCTCCCTCCCTCCCCCCTCCTCCCTCCTCCTCCTCCTCCTCCTCCTCCTCCTCCTCCTCCTTTTCCTCCTCCTCCTCCTCCTCCTCCTCCTCCTCCTCATACCCCTCCTCCTCCTCCTACTCCTCCTCCTCCTCCTCCATCCTATTTCCGCTTAATCAACTCCTCCCTGTCTCCCCCCCCCCCAGGTCTGTCGGTAAGGCGAGGCGGGCGTTTCGCGTGAGACTTCCGCACGACGCATGATCCTGAAACTTGAGTGTTGCAACACCGTCAAGGATGGAGGACGGCACTTTTTGAAAACATGTCCTCCCCGTACGGCCGAGCACATTCGCTTTAAAACTTTACAGCGGTTTCAAGAATGGAGGGCGGTCCGTTTTCAAAATGTGGCTCCCGCCTTGGCACCGCGCACATTCGCCTTAATACGCGCACCACCTTCAAAGATGAAGGGCGCCGCAGCATGTGCCTCCAAAATTCGCAACCGTTTCAAGGACCGTGTGGTTGAGATCACTGAAGCGGCGCTCTGGCGACGGACCGTCAGAACGCAACAGTCATGTTTGTTCGCTGTGTTGACGTCCCAAGAACGGTGTTCGGGCACGGTTTAAGATTGTCATGGCGCGACAGTCACGTTGATTCGCGGCGCCCAAATCCCAGGAATGATGTTTCGGCACGACCGCGAGTTCTCAGACGATTGTCCTCCAATGTTACAATGCCCGCAACGATAAACAATTATGTCGGGACGTACGATCGGTGCAATATCGTTGACGCATATTGGGTTTGCACTGGTCCTCCTCCTTCTCCTCATCATTGCTCCTCGCCCCTCGACCCTCGGCCCGCGTTCCTCCTCCTCATCATCCTCATTTGCCCGTTCTCTCTCCTCATCTTCCTCCTCCTCCTCCTCCTCCTCCTCCTCATCATCATCATCATCATCATCATCATCATCATCATCATCATCATCATCATCATCATCATCATCATCATCATCATGCTCCTCCTTCTCTTCGCTCACGGCTGCTCGTTCCTCACCCGTCCTCCCTCCTTGGCGGGGGCAGAAAACAAACAGTTGCGCGGCTGCGGCGCGGGGCCCATGCTCCTTTGTTGCCCCCCGTCACATTGTGGCCCGCGCCGTACTCCAGCAGCAACCCGGCTTCCCTGCAGAAGGGGGAGTTCCGTAGCCACCGCCGCCGCAAATTGAAGCAATACTAGAAGGGGGGGACTGGTTCAGTGGGGGATCGACATGGACTTGACGATGCATCGCCGATATATTGGCGACGCGCCCCCGATCGGGAAACCCCGCGTCCCTAAACGACAGGCCCTTCGCGCGCCGTTCCACCGCAACCGCTGCCGACCAGGACGACAAAAAGGAACTCGTGCGCCACTCCTGGGCGCAGGGGCGGCCGCGTCCACGGCCTTTGGTCGGCTTGGCGGCCGGCGGGTCGCTGGAAACAACCGAGGTCACAACGGACGGGGTCGGAAGATCGAACTGCGTCGCCGCGCCGGGGCGGAGAAACACGGGCTCTACATCGCGCCGCATTGTCGCCGCGTCGGCGACGCAGCGCCATCCTCCAGCCCCCATCTTTTTCGGCCCCATTTGGGAGGGCTGGCTTCGGGGAGGGGGGGGGATCGGGGGGGGGAGAATGTCACGCTGTCTTTTCGTGGGGCCTTGCCCGTCTTCCAAGAACGGTTATACCCTCATATCTCAGACGCGCGCGTTCGACGCGGACTCGACGTGGACAACGGGGCATGGGGCAGGCAAGTTCCCCCTGCCCCCCCCTTCCCATTCTGATTGCTTGTTATCCCTCTTCCGCATGGGGGACCAGAGGGATTGGGAGGAACGGAGTGGACCTGCATGATGGTTGACCTCCTGGCAGAAGAGGAGAGGGAGCGGCGGCATCGGCGACGGCGTCCTCGACCACCGCGGCGGCGCCCCAACGAGCACATGGCGCGGTGCCCTGTTCAGCGCCTTGCGCTGCATGCGCCGAGTGCAGATCGCGGCTATGACGGTTTTAGCCCCTTCCCGGCGACAAGCTGCACATTACTTTCCAGAGCGGGCTCAACCAGCACGTGCTCCTCGCAGGGCAACCCTTCCTCCTCCCTCCTCCTTCTCCCTCCTTCCTCAGGAGATGCGCTGCACGCCGCAACAGCGGCCATTTCGGCTGCGGCCCTCTCGCCTTGGACGTCATCAGAAAAGCTGGGGGCGAAGGGGGCGTTCTTTTTTTTTAGGTTTCAGCATCGACGTTGGCTTATACAAAACAAGCCTGCTTGGGGCAACTGTCCCGTTTAGGGGTTGCCGTCTCGCCGTTGCCAATTCGTTTCGCGATCCGCCCTCGAGCGTTTCCAAGTGCGTGTTTCATTGGTCCGTTTCTATTACACGTTTTCTATGTTGGGGTGCCTTGTTTTCGTTATGGTATGGGCTGTCGTGTTCCGCTCGTTTTTGTCCCAGCAGCGAGTGCCACTTGTTTGTTGCATTGGTGTTGCCGTTTCTGCGCTAGCCAACCGCAGCGCGCAAAGAGAACACGGGAAGAAACGCACACAACGATTTCAAAAACAACTAAGATCCCGCCTCCCCCATCACCAGTCTTCCCCCTCCCCCCTCCCTGCCCCCTTTCTTCCTTGATGTGCCCCTCTTCTTCATCCCTCGGTATCGTATTATTCGTCCTCTTCCTCCCCCTCCCCCACCCCTTCCTCCTCCTCCTCCTGCTCCTCCACCTCGTCCCGCCCACCCCCCTGCCTCCTTCCCATCCCGCAGTGGCCGTTTGGTGGCACGTCCCCCGACCGCGTGCCCGGCGAGTCCAACATGGTGATTACCACGTTTCCCCTCAGCGTCATTTTCCTCATCGTCCTCGCCATATTCGTCCTCTTCGTCCTCCTCGTCCTCCTGCTCTTCCTCCTCGTCCTCGTCCTCGTCCTCGTCCTCGCCCTCGTCCTCCTACTCCTCCTCCTCTTCCTCCTCCTCCTCCTCCTCCTCCTCCTCCTCCTCCTTCTGCTCCTCATCGTACCTATCACCGACACCACCACCATCATCACCACCATCATCATCAGCATCGCCATCACCAGCATGACCATTTTCATCCTCGGCCCCATCCTCACCCCCATACCCGACCACGCTTCCCCCTCCCCCTCCCCCTTCCCCCTCCCCTTCCTCCTGTTCCTCCTTATCCATGTCCTCCTCCTCCTCCTCCCTCAAGCAACTTGGGCTCGAGCGCCATTTTGGCATCCGACGCCCAACCTCGCGCCTCCACGTGGTGCTTGGGGGGCTGCGCACTTTCTGTCCCACCCTTCGGACGGCCAGTTGCGTAGGCGAAAGCGAGGCTTCGCCCGTGGCCCATGGCAAAGGCCTGGAGTACATGTGCGAAGTGTGGTACTTACGAGTACAATGAGAGGATCGTGGCAAATTCAGGGAAGTGCACCAAGTGTCATTGTCCAGTCAAGTTGTATAAGCCGAAGAAAGGTCCAGCATCCTCGTCCACTCAGCCGTCCTTGCAGAATGTCAAAGGGTCGGTCGGGTCACAAGTGGCAGCGACTACGTCCACCATCCAGGCGCTGTCCGCTGCGATGGCCAGAGTGACCGACCCAGTCAGCCGCAAGGTGCTCGCCGAGCAGATCGAGTTCGCTGAGCGCGGGGCCCAGGCGTCGGAGCAGCCGACCGTGGTCCCACCGAGCGAGGCAGTTCGGCGAGCAGAGGGCGCTCGGAAGGATGCCAAGCAGAAGCATGTGCAAGCGAGTGCAGCTGTCTCTCGTTGCCAGGAGAATTTGGTGGCAGCGATGAGGAAGGAGGAGGAGGCGGCCCGCACTCTGGCCCTTGCTGAGATCAGCAAGCGCACGGCCGCGGTGGCCCTGGCCCGCGAGGCGGGCGTGGACGTGCACACCGCGGGCGGCGCAGGCGGGGGCAGCACCTCTGGCGCTGGCGCAGGTGGCGCTGACGTCGAGCAGGTGCCGATGATGAACGTCACATGGGATGAGGAGTTGTCCAAGCAGCTCGACACCCTCGAGTGCACAGAGGGCGAGAGAGCGGAGCTCAAAAAGGTCGAGGCTGAGCTGAAGGCGGTCAGAGACAGCGTCATCAGCAAAGCCGACGAGGTTCTCAAGTGGAAGACCCAGGTGCTCGACCTCAGGGCGAAGGTCAAGGAGCGCCTCGACAAGAAGAGGAATATCGACGGGGGCATCAGTGGCGCCGCCGCGGGCACGGCAGGCGGCGCTGGAGGCGGCGGGGGCCAAGGGCAGCCACCCGCTGCTGCGGCCCAGCCAGCAGCCCAAGGGGCTCAGCCTGGCGCGCCGTCCGAGGATGAGATCAAGATCGAGATGGAGCGCATCAGGGCAGTCACTGCAGCTGCCAAGGCGGCCGCCGAGGGGGCTGCAGGAGTGGCTCCAGAGGCGGGCAAGGCGGAGGCGCCGCAATGAGGCGGCGCGGCGGCTGCGGGTCCATCGGCGCCTGCAGTCACCCAGCCGCTCGAGCCGAGCGCGGAGGAGCAGTCCACCAGCGAGGTCGACTCCTCCGTGTGCATGTTTTTTTTTTTTTTTTTTTTTTTTTTTTTTTTTTTTTTTTTTTTTTTCAGCAACGTCACCATGCTGGGCAACAAGACCTGGAGCTACGTCAGCTCCGAGGCCACGCTGTCCAAGTACGAGTACATCGGCATGGTGGAGTCGCACATCGGGGCCCACACTAGGGCCAAGTGGGCTCGTCGTGCACGGAGCGCCAAGCTCAAGTACCTGGACAATCCAGCGAGATCAACGGGTCGAGGCACCTCGAAGGCGGCGGAGGGGCGCGCCTACGAGGGCGGGAAGATCATGTTGGCTCGAGGTCATCTTTCAGTTCATCGAGTTGTTGACAAGCCGCGTGGGGGCGCCAGTAGCTACTGTGCTGAGGGCTCAGACGCTCTCGATGGTTTCATGCCTGTTCTCGTGCATCTGAATGGTTTCTCGCTGCTTGTTGTGCTGTTTTACGCACACCCGTCAGTTGAATTCATGGGTATTAACTCAGCCAGATTGGCCAAGTTGGGTGCGTGCTTGTCTTCTGTGAAGCTTCCGTGGCTTGTCATAGGGGATTTCAACATTGATGTTGCCAAGTTTCAGAGGTCAGCGTTTTGTCGCCGCGTCGGAGGTGTGATCCGTCGGGCTGATGTGGAGTGCACGTGCGTCGGGAGTGCAGGTAGTTCGCACATCGATTTTGTCATGGCGTCTGAGTGCTGTCTTCCATACATTCGCAGTGTCACACCAGTAGTTGACACGCCATGGGCACCTCACATTGGCCTTGAGCTACGGCTAAGAGGCAACGGCGAACAGTTGCTGTGCAGATCTTTGCTTGTCGCTCCTAGGTTGCCGCAGGTGCCCAGGCCGTCTGCTGCGCCCACCGCTGGGCCCAAGTCGAGCGCGAAGAAGCTCGAGCAGGCCGAGCGAGCTCAGAAAAAGAAAGAGCGTCTGATTAGCGAATATCAGTTGCTGTACGGTGACGTTTTCGGCAGCACGTCTTCCCCCGAGCCTCCTGACCCCAGTGATCTCGACCCGTCGGCTGGCGGCCCCGTTGGCTTTTCGTCGCAGGTCGAACCTCTTGGGGATGAAGGCTTCGAGGGGCTTTTTGAGGCTGACGAGGAGGGCCCCTGGGCCAATGAGTCCTCCGTTCAGCCCGCACCTAGAGTTTCGGAATCTCTGAGCAGTCCCCTTCCAGGCGCGCACGAGGCGACGCAGGTTTCGTCGGCGACGTCTGGGGTTGCAGCAGTAATTCGGCGTGAAGGTAATGGTTTGCCCCCCCAGCCGAGCGCCCTCGGAACGACGCCCCCCTGGAAGGGGGTCAGCGATCACCCCGCCCGTGCTGGTGCCGCTGCCTCTCCTGCTCCTCCCCCTTCGTTTTCTATTCCCCCCTCCTCGTGGGTAGCCGCTTTGGCTCAAGTCCCTTGGACTGCGCACTCTATTCACGATGTTTGGCCACCTATTCGACAGTCTCTCGCTTTCCAAGCTGGTGCACAGCATGTCCTGCCAATCAGTGGGGCCTTCTCGCGATGGGTCCAGGCCGCGGAGCTAGCCATCTCCTCTCACCATGAGATCGGAGCTCCAGAGCGGTCTAGGGCAAGCGGCTGCGACCTGCAGGTGGTGTCGGCCAGGCAAGCAGAGCACATTCGTCAAGAGCCGTTGCGAGACGGCATCTCCACATGGTG